TAAGGTTTTTAGTCTTCGAGAGCTAACTATGGCCATCGAGGACTACGAAGCGCCCCGTGGCTGGCTTAAAAGTTCATTGCATGCCAGGAAGTATTTGTTATTGTTAGATTCAGACGAGGATGGACGTTGCATTGCTAAAATGGCTACAAAACGGACATTTGGATGTCAAGCAGCTTAGACAAGAAGAGCTCTGATGCTGGAAGAGAGGGTAAAAGTGATCAAAATGAAAGACGGAGCAAGCAAAATAAAAGACATTTTCCAAGAAATTGATGTTAGTGAAAGTGAATGCTGATCGTAAATTTTGCAATTTCTTTCCCTTTTTTTCTTTCTACACTGACAATATGAAGTGTCAAATAAGTGTGTGCTCATACTTATGTACTATTGGAATAAAAATAGAGTACACAAACGTTTGTGTGTGCGTGTACACATACGTTTGTGTGTGTGGGTGTGTGTGTGCTTACATCTGAGATCAAATTTGCTACAGTGAAAAACCCCCTGTTGTGAAAAATTTCTTGCTGCAAACATGATTTCGTTGTAGAGGAGTTTCACTGTAATATAAGTATTATGACTCTGTTCATCAACATGGATTTCCATGAAAAATATCAGTTCAAGTAAAGTCAATAAGTCATGACGACTATACACCTAGCATATCGATGGACCGTATTATACACAAGTACAGAGAAAAAAAAACATTTTAAGGGTGATTTTTGCAGGGTGGGGGAGGCGGCTTATTACACCTGGTACATCTTGTTCTATGCAAATTATGCTATTCAAATTCAGGTTTTAAATGTGTTCTGATAGTGTTTTAGGCCAGCAGTGAAGGTTATGCTGGCCCTGACGGTTCACGACTGTGAGATGCATCGGTTGTAAGATGACGAAGACTGGATACGCCAAATTGCCAAAAACCAATCGCCATCATGATCTATATCATAATTGTCATTCCAACATAACAAGCACACTAAAAAAAAGACAAAGAAAAAGCTCCTAGAAGTCCATAGTTTAACCTTTGAAAGAGGCACAAGCAGCTTCATCCAACACAAATACATATAATAATGCTGCATTCGAGTACTGTATTACACGGATGAGAATGTAAATTATTCGCTTCCCACACAATTGTTTTTCGTCTTCCAGCAGATTTTTGCACTTTTTCCCGCTTTTTTTATGCAAAACACATGAGAGTTGGCTTTCTTTTTCTTCTTTGATCTTGATTGGCTTTGGCCACAGCGTTTCTTATTTCTTTTTTTTCTTTTTCTTTTATTTTAAATAACGGCCACATAATGAAGCCACGGAGTAATGACTTTCCCCAGGTGGCGAAGGTTCATTGTCAGTTGAAGACACAACAGTGTCGATGAGTTGGAACAAGAAGAAGAAAAAAGAAACAAAGAAAATTGTCTCCTCCTCATGTGTTTTTGCTTAATGCTGCTTTTGCTTTGTTTATGTGGCCCGGAAAGAGCGAAAGAGAAAGAGAGAGAAAGAAAGAGAGAGAAAGGCACACCAAGGCCAGCTGCTGCTCCGGAATATGGAGAACACACTTCCCGCCACCCTGTTCTGCACCACACTGTGACACCTGTTTATTAGGTACACTGCAACAGCCGCGTTCTAATTTCAAAACATATTTAGCCAAGTGAGAGAATGGATGGATAGATATTCTCCAATGAAAAGAGAAATACAGAACAGCAATTCATGAATCATGAAGAATGTTCCGAATTTAAAACCATTTCTAAATGTTTGTAAACAACAGGCCCTGTGGTTCTTCCCACAGGCAGAAAGTGAGTGACTACCACTGTCCGGATTTAGAAATTTGTGTTATGGGTTGCACTGCCAGGTATACCACAAAAGCCGAATCTTTTTTTCCCCCCCTTTTACTTTAAAAAATCTCAAATTAATCCTTCGCCACAAGGAACTTTGCCTGCCTGACAATTTACAGTAGCTGAACATTGGGCATTATAACAAGCTAACACTGGTAGCACTGCTAGCTAATGATAGATAGCCTTTGCCAATGCCGCCGCGCAGCTTAGCCTTGGCTTTGACACGATAGTGCTTCCGTGAAGTCGAATAGATCTTTACACAGCCTAGAAAGTCCACATCAAGATTTTCAGAAAAAAAAAGAAAAAGTGCAACAAATATCTTTTCGCTGTTCAATGATGTAATGCCTTGCAAGGTGCAGTGGTGTGGAGGTTTTGTTTGACTTTTTGAGGCATATTTTTGCAATTTTTTTCAGTCACTGTCAAAATTCTACTGCTTTTGGACCCAGTGATTGATTTTGTTCCAACCCGACTCAAGAGATACGCACACGAAAGCTTGAAATTGAGTCGCCACCGTGACGGAGGCTTCATTAATCATAGCCGCAGAGAGCGCTGATAGACGAGAGCCTGATTTGATCTCAAAACTTTTTCTCTGATCCAACACCAGGTCTGTGTTGGCCTCCAGATGGTCTGGCCCTCCTGTGCAGTGTGTGAGTGTACCAACTTGGCAGTGCTCACGCCCACAACAGCACAAACCGCACTTTTTAAAAAATGTGCTTGTGCGTGTCTGACAAATGACCAACACCGTCTTATAAGACTGCACAGATTTATGCCGCTTCAGTCAGCTCAGTCTTTTCACATCAAAGAGGCCACATTGAGTTAATATTTTCCCCCAAATTCAATTTAAAAAAGATCAATCCTGCAGCTCCAAAGGGCTACTTTAAGGATACAACATGATCTATGATAACTTCATTGATGCACTGCAATCTTGTTGAAGAGATATGATGCTTAATGTTTATACACGCGAGATTGCAGCTGAGTGTTTTTTTTATTACTGCACAAATGTCTTCAGTGTTATGTTAAATATTGCAGATGCATTCTCGTGTTTGCACAGGCACATTTTTTGTATTGAATGTCACGAGATATTATGTAGCTTTGGAAGCGGCCTTGGAGTGCAGAGTCGGACGATCCTACAGTGTCACCTGCTGGCATAAAAAGTACTGTACCTAATAAGGCAGCAATGGCCAAAAGCTTGTAATCAAAAAAGGGCCTCGTTTGGATTGTAAAACAGACTGATTCCTTCTTTTGATTGACTGGTTGATTTATACTTGATAATGAACCCATTCGGGAAATTTAAGCATTCTAAAAGCTTACAATCGATGGACCAAAATACAAACGCACATACAACACGTTTATTTTCCACCAGTGTGTGTTCGTATGTGCGGTCGTAATGTCGACATTTACAACATTGTGAGAGTTTTGGCTAAAAATTGAACAAGCAAAATGTTTTCTCTACAGCGTGCGTTCTCGTGCGTCTTACTCCTCTCCAACTCCCCGGAGACGAACTACAGTATATCCGTGTCGCAATTCACAATGAGTCTCAAAACTGCTCTCGCTACCGCAAGATGGCGGTCGTGTATCGGCCATTGTGTTCCATGACGACGGAAATAAAACATGCTGCTTACCGTTGACAACATCAGCGTCTCAAGTCAAGGTAGTCACTCGTGATTTTTTTACATATATTTCTCACCGCAAGATGGCGGTCGTGTATCGGCCATTGTGTTCAATGACGACGGAAATAAAACATGCAGCTTACCGTTGACAACATCAGCGTCTCAACTCAATGTAGTCACTCGTGATTTTTTTTACATATATTTCTCGACTACTGCTGAAGATTGTTTTTGTCCCTTTTACAATAAAGATTCTCGAGACGCTCCTCTTTATGCAAAACGAATCTAGTTTGTCCAAATGGACTTGCCCTACTACGCGGTACTGCGTTTGCTGCAGCTCTTCCTTCCCTGTTTGTTCGTTAGTGCAGCCAAGCGCGCGTCAACATTTCTTCCTGCATTAGCAATGAACATAACGAAGCGTCTGCTGGACTAACACAACAGTCATTACATCTTCGCGTCCGGATAAAGTCGTTTCGATGCATGTTGACGTGTTTCGGTCTGGTTTAGCGTAGCTGCACATCCTAGCCGTCAAAAAGAGAGACGCGTTTGTTTCTATTACATCGACTAAGCAGGAATCAAAAGGGCGTGGGAGTTTGGGAGATTATCGCGTGATAATATGTGCAAAACGTGTTAAAGAAGAAGAGTACTCGGGGAGACTTTGTTGAACAAAAGAGGATAAGGAGCGACAGCGTCAGCTACTCGACGCTGTTTGCAAGCACCCCCCGGCAGTGTTACAAAGTCCAGCAGGTTGTTCAAATCTTACTCTCGTTTGGATTTTTTTTGTGAACTGAATTGTGTTAAACAGTATGTGAAACGCATGACTTGATTAGTTCCATTTAGGCTTTCCTAAAGTAGTCTTTTGGATTCAGCGCCCTGAGAATGAAATGACCTGGATCAATGAGAATATTCGCAGAGAAAACAAACAGCTAGATAATAAGACACTTCTTCTTTACCGACTAACCAAGAACTAGGTTAGTAGCCGCTAGCTACACACAATTGCTGTTCATTCACCGCAACAAAAACATATTTTTTTCTTTTAAATATCGTTTTCTCGTTGTACATACTGCAGTTCACAGCATCAATGTAAAAGAATGTCCTATGTGATCAACTCTGAAACAACACTTGTTCTGGATACCATTCAGAGTTGAAAGATTTTACAAGTGGGATTTGGGTGTCATCGTTCCAGTCCGACAACTAGTCAGATGTCTCTTTGTATAATTACCTTTGCTGGTTTGCCAGTCGGCAGCATTTGAGGTTTAAATGTAGTTTGTCCAAGTGGCGTTGCCGTACAACATCCGCGGCTCATCTTCCCCATCAGATTTATTGATGCAAGCTCGCCAATTTGTAACCTCCGAAATTACCAAACGGATTGAAGACTCCATCACCAATTTGATAGCCTAAAACATCATTAGTTAAACCCTCGTGTCCGGTTATACTCGTGTCGACGCAAGTTGAAGCCTTTCGAACTAGCTTAGCTTAGCTTGCTAGCCGCTAACAAAGAGACACTTGAGTTGGCAACACCTCACTCAGCAGATATCAATTGTGAGTGTAAAGTGTTGTGTTTAACGTGTGAAAATGTGTGCAAAAAGTGTGAAAGAAAATGAGTACGAAACGGACGTCTCGCTGACAAAAGAGAACGAACGTCATCAACTGGACGCTGTTTCCAAGTCGCCTCCAGTTGTGGTACGCAGAGGAGGTTTGCTTACATTTTACTCTTACTCTTTTAGTAACCCAACTTCATTGCTAACAACAATATGTGGTCGTTTCACGTTTTTTTTTTTTTTTTTTACCTTAATCACTGACACGTGTTGACACCGCTACCTTGACAAAGTAACTTAGTTACTTCTTTGGTTTTATCAATTGAAATTACTGTTGGGACCGGAGTAGGTCATAGTAGTTGTTTCTACTGTATATTGTTTTTTTTTATTATAAAGTAATTTGCTGTAAGACCCGAATTCCTTCTCTGTGGATCAATCACGGATATGGTAAACATTGCCACAATAATACACAACATCAAAATCACAACATGAGGCTTGATTGAGCGAGCTTGACTTTAGTAAAACGTGTTTGCCTTCTTGTGTCCTACAGATGTCAGTGATGGGGATCTTTGTGCTGAGTCCCCCCATATCAAAGATGAGGAACCAGATATTGCTCATACCAAAAAGGAAGGGCCGCCCGAGTACACTTGCATTAAAGAAGAAGAGCAGGAGGACGATATAACCAAGTTTCGATTGCCTGGTGTCATTATGAAGAGTGAAGAAAGTGATGCAGAGCACTGTGGAGCATCACAATCAGATTGCCTTTTGGCTCCACTATCAGGCAGTGATGACATCACATCACACTTTTTAAATGATGATGATAATGAAGATGATGAACAGTCTAAAGGTGATATGACATGTCACACTGACAACAAACGTGTCCGGTGTTCTCACTGTGACAAAACTTTTCACAAAAGGTCATTGTTGAAAACACACGTAAGAATTCACACTGGAGAAAAACCTTTTGCCTGCTCAGACTGTGGTAAAAGATTCTCTTTAAAGACCAATTTAACGACACACACAAGGACACACACAGGAGAAAAACCTTTTGCGTGCTCAGATTGTGGTAAAAAATTCTCAACAAAGACACATTTAACAAGACACACAAAAACACACACTGGAGATAAACCATTTTCCTGCACAGTTTGTGGTCAAAGATTCTCCATCAAGACAAATTTAACACGACACTCAAGAAGACACGATGCAGAAAAACCTTTTGCCTGCTCAGTGTGTGGTAAAAGATTCACTCAGAATGGAGATTTAATGATACACACAAGAACGCACACCGCCGAAAAACCTTTCACTTGCTCAGTTTGTGGTAAAAGATTCTCTCGACATGGAATTTTAAAAATACACACAAGAACCCACACCGGAGAAAAACCTTTTGCCTGCTTAGTTTGTGGTAAAAGATTCACTCAGAAGGGAGATTTAAGAATTCACACAAGAACGCACACTGGAGAAAAACCTTTTGACTGCCCCATATGTGGTAAACAATTCTCTGGAAAGTCAGGTTTAACAATACACACAGGAACACACACCGGAGAGAAACCTTTTGCTTGCTTAGTTTGCGGTAAAAGATTCTCTTTAAAGACACATTTAACATCACACACAAGAACGCACACTGGAGAAAAACCTTTTGGCTGCTCAGTTTGTGGTAAAAGATTTGCTCGAAAGTCCAACTTAACAGCGCACAAAAGAAGACACGCTGGTGAAAAACATTTGCCGGCTCAGTTTGTGGTAGAAGATTCTCTTTAAAGACACATTTAACAATGGAGCTATAGTTTTGAGCACAGGTGACAAACGCAAGGCCTGGAGGCCAGATCTGGCCCAACTTATCATTTTATGTGTCCCGTGATAGCAAATCTTGCGTGTCAACTTCCATGACACCTTCAAAAATCTGTACCAAAGTTTAAAATTGTCAAAAGAATTAAATAAAGTTGCGATTTTGCAAGTGTGCTTATTTTTTGTGTCCTGCAGATATGAGTGAAATATTTCTTCATCCTGAGCAACAGGAGTCACAATTTCTTCCGATTAAAGAGGAGGAGGAGCTCCTCTCACTTCACATGAAAGAGGAAGAAGAGGATGACATCACGAGGTTTTCAGTGACCTTTGGGCCCATGATGAGTGAAGAAGATGAAGACAAATGTCAGCAGAGTGAGAACAGACGAACGCAACTTCCAAGCAGCAGCTCAAGTCAACACATGGTAACAGAAGGTGATGGAGACCACTGTGGGGGATCCCAAGCAGACAAACTCTCAGCTCCATTATCAGATTGTGACAACATAACATCTGATGATGATGATGATGATGTTGGAGAACACGCAGAATATGGTACAACATGTCACTCTGGCAACAAACATGTCAAATGCTCACAGTGTGAGAAAACATTCAGTTCCAAGTGGGGCTTGAAAGTACACACGAGAACACACACTGGGGAAAAACCTTTCGCCTGCTCAATTTGTGGTAAAAGATTCTTTGTCAAGGAACGTTTACGAATGCACACAAGAACACACACCGGAGAGAAACCTTTTGCATGCACAGTTTGTGGTCAGAGATTCTCTGTGAAGACACATTTAACAACACACGAAAGAACACACACTGGGGAGAAACCTTTTGCCTGCTTTGTTTGCGGTCAAAGATTCTCTGTCAACAATAGTTTAATAATGCACACGAGAACACACACTGGGGAAAAACCTTTTGCCTGCTCTGCATGCAGCAAAAGATTCACTCAGAAAGGAGATTAAAAAATACACTTAAGAACACACACCGGGGAGAAACCCTTCATCTGCTCAGTTTGAGGGAGAAGATTCACGCTCAAGGGTCATTTACGAGTACACACAAGAACGCATACTGGAGAGAAACCTTTCGTCTGTTCAGTGTGCGGTCAAAGATTTTCTGTCAACGGAAGCTTATGAACACATTCAAGAACACACACTGGAGAAAAACCATTCAGTTGTGGCGCATGTGATAAAATATTCTCTCGTAAAGACCATATGAAGAGACACAAGTGTCCAGGTGGAAATAAAAGCAATCAATCAATGAAGCCTGAAATAAGACTTTGAAGAAATTGACTCTTTGCAGTCAGACGTAAAAGTGTGTCTTTGGACACGAACAAAACTATGATGGTGAATTTGGTGACTATGATGGAAAGACATTACATCAATAAAATCATAAGGAACAAAAGAACGATGATGTAGTGTGATTTTCATCCAGGGACAGAGTGACAGTTAAGTTTTTACTGATGTGGTAAGAAATTTACATAAACTCAACATGGTCATGGATGGGCCTTTTGATCAATCATGTGACTAATCTTTATGGTCATGAACATTTTCATGTTGGTTACATTTGTCATCTGCATTTATAAGTGAAGTCAAGTCAAAAACATTCTTGACCAAAATTACGTTCTATGCCCCCAACTGGTTTAAACATGGTATTCTGATGAATATTGCATTTGTGGAATATGAATTAAAAGAGAAAAAGGCACCCTTTGGTCGACTGGTTTGCACGTCCGCCTCACACTGCTGAGGTGCAGGGTTCGCTTCCAGTTCCAGCCTTCCTGTGTGGGGTTTGCATGTTTTCCCCGTGCCTGCGTGGGTTTTATCCGGGTACTCCGGCTTCCTCCCAAATTCCCAAAACATGCATGGCAGGTTAGTGGAACACTCCAAATTGTCCCCAGGTGTGAGTGAGTGTGTGAATGGGAATTTGTGTGGCCTGCAATTGGCTGGCAACCAGATCAGGGTGTACCCCCCCTACTGCCCGAAGACGGCTGGAATAGGCTCCAGCAGGCCCGCGACCCTCGTAAGAATAAGCAGATTCGATAATGGATGGACAGATGGAAAGCCACGCGTTTTTATCCATCTCTGGGGTGGCCATTTTGTCCCTTGCTGTCGACTGAAAATAGCATCACAGTGCACAGCTTGCGAACGTCACGCGACCAAACCAAGAAAATAAGTGAGCCTTGCGTATGTCAGTCTCAATAGAAATAAATGGTGAGATGCGTGCACAGACGCCTCATCCACCTCGCAGTTCTGAGGTAGTGGGTTTGAAATCAAGCTCCAGTCATCCTGTGGGGAGTTGGCATGTTCTCCAAATATGCTTTCTCCCAAAATATGCTTCGTAAACTAATTGAAGACTGTAAAGCAGCGGTTGCCAGCCTGGTACGGTACCGGTCGGCGCGCACACACACACGTATAGATTTCCCAATACATTTCGAAGAACCGATTTTCACAAGTACCACGCGGGGCCCAATTCCCCGCGAATAGCAGAGGTCCACTGGAGTCATTAAACTTAACTAACAACCCCATAAAAATAACTCACCAAGATAAATTATTTTCTTTATTTCATTTGACATATCATGTACAAATCATGTCAAAGAGACATTTGTATTACTAAAAGAAATGTGACAAACCTTTCCGCCGTCTCTCACAGAACTTTATGTACATTTTTAACATGCTTTTTCAAGTGTCCAGATTGTGTAAAATGTTTCGGGCAATGTGGGCAAGAATGTGGTTTCTCTCCTGTATGGATGTACTTGTGTCTTTTCAGGTTGTTCTGGTCGAAAAATCCTTTCCCACAATACGGGCACCAATGTCTTTTCTCCCCACGGTGCCACCTGAGATGCGCGTTGAGTTCGACACTCCTCGTAAACTTTTTTTCACATAAATGGCAAGGGAACGGTCGCTCCCCCGTATGGACTCGGATGTGGGTCTCCACATCTCGCTTTGTGAAGAAGGACTTGTTGCAGACCTGGCAGACGAAAGGCTTGATTTTCCCGTGTACCATCTGGACATGTTTGGCGAGGCCAAAGCCGTAAACAAAACCCTTCCCGCACTGCTGACAAACGTGCAGCCGCCCGTTGCGGTGCACGATGCTATGCCGTTTAAGACCCCTGGAGTCGGGAAAGCTCTTATCACAGAGCGTGCAAGAGAATGGCCTGTGACCGGTATGGACACTGACGTGACTTTCGAGGGCCGTCTTGCTGCTCAGAATGCGGCCGCATTCCCCGCACTGGTTTTTACGCAGGTGCCTGGCGCCGGCGGATCGAGGCTTCGTGGCCGCTTTGGCTTGCGTCGCTTCCCCTGCTTGCATTTTCGGAGGACTGCGCACGGTTTGAGAAGTACATTTGTTTCCTGTTTGATTGCTGGCATGGTGGTGAATTCCCTGCTTAGGTATGTTTGATTTAGTTTGTTTCATTTTTGCGATGGGGTTAGCTTTTGCCTCCTGGGCTAATTTCTTTGCGTTCTGTTCCTTCGCATTGTCTTGAACAGTCGGCATTTGATTCATTCTTGATTTCTTCGCAGTACTTTCTCCAGTCTTACTTGAACCGGGAGCAATTTCAGTGGATTTCGGCGACAGAGCGCTCGGGGAGACACTTTTCCCCATTAATGAATTCGATGCTCGTTTTGAGTTTTCCAATTCAGAAAGGTTGCAAATCCAAAGAGATTCACAGTTAGAAGTTTGAGGTCTAGGAACATTTTTAATGATCCTCGACTCATTTTGACTGACGGGAGGCAATTGGGACTTTTTGGGCTTCTTATCGTCTCTCGTGAATTTTTTCCTTGGAGGAGGAGGAGTGGTCGTTTCATGGGCAGACTGGTCTCGAGGACAATTGAAATGAGTCTTTTTAACACAAGCGATTTTCTTCGGACTCTGATATGGCAATTTAGTCTTGACGGCGGCGGTGGTACCTTCGGTTGTATTTGACCACAGACACACATTTGTGGCTTTCAACTTCTTTGGGCTATCCTTCCCTTCATTTGTGCTCGGCTTTCCAGTTGTCACGGCAGCGACCGTTGTTTGTGTCACACAGAGTTCCACTTTGGTTGAACCCGACCGAGGACTCTGACTGAAATCTCCTGATTTTTTAGAGGCAGCATTACTGGTAGATCTGCTGGACAGAAAGCGACCCACCGGGGCTGACTTTGCCTTCTCAGCTGTACCCGCAATTGAACTCGACCTTGGACAGACTGTAGCTTCAACTGGTTTGCTTGCACCATCTTCAGCTCTAAACGGCTTTTCAGTGTCGATTGGAACGCGTTCAATACTACCTCCTATTTTTAGACTGCCAGACACCGACTTACGTTTTGTTTGGCTTACACGGGAGACATTTTTTCCGGCACGTGGCAGTGGGGCGATAATCGAAGTGCTGTCTGTTGTGTCTTTTAGAGATAACCTATACAAAGTTACAACTGGCTTTCGGCGTCTCACAGAAACAGTTTCACTTTCAGTGCAACTGATATTTGTCTGCCGTTGATTCCTGAGACTGAGTTGGGAAAACTCGGTTTCCTTCAGTGGCTCTGTGGGACTCAAGGGAATGGCAGTATTTGTCGGAACTGGCTTCTGGGTAGAATCTTGTTCGGTCGTACTAACATTCTCTAATCTCGGTTTCTTGGGGCTTTCGGGGAAACAAGGCTGGCTTGTATGTGGCTCTGAATTTGTTTTTGTTCGCTTGGTCCGCGAATACGTTTTGAGGGGAACTCCAGGACAGGCAACGATGGACTTTTTGTGTGACTTTCTCCTTCCATCGGTACTGGTCCTTTCATCACACGAACTTTGGGCATCTGCAGACTCAATAGTTGTTATCTACAAAATAAGATGACAACATTTTATTCAGATTTTGTATCATGAAGAAACACAAATCAATCAATTTCAGCATGATTAACAATGTCTTACTTTTAAGATTACTTTTGTGTTAGCCATTGAAAACATAATTTTACGACCAAAGCGTGCGAAATTTGACATTACCTTTTCAGCATCTTGATTTACAGGCAACAGCTCCAACTGTGAGAAGAACTCCGTTTCGGTCGATTGTAAATGAGGTACAGATGGGTCCTTGGTGATCGGGCTTGAATGCGCGGGGGTCGTCGAAGAGCCATTCGGTGAAACAAAATTATGCTCCACCGTGTTGAGTCTTTCCTCGTCCACAGTGCCAGTTTTACGTGCTTGGTCAGTTACGGCTGGAAACTCGACCTTGTCAAAGTCCATCGTTGCTTTCTCCAAGACCGATTCAGAGCCACAGGAAGGTGTACAAGCTGACAAACCAGTGGGCGGTGCCTCGTCCGGAGCGGAGCAGGGTGTTGCCTTCTCTGATGTCTTTCTAATTTCACCAACCGAGGTTTCTTTTAAATTGGGATGCAAGCCGGTTGATAGCGCAGCTACTTCTGATGAGCGGACCGTTGACGTGGGTGCCTGCTCATTGATCAAAGATGAGGCGCTGTCTGGTGGGACCACTCCAGATTCCTTTGCATGACAAAACAGTTGCGAAACCAAAAATGATCCGGTGGAAGATGCCAGATTCGGCAGCCTTTTTAGTCTGATTACTGGGATTAGTGGAGAAGACTTTGCTGGCAAAAGCTCGGATGACGATGCTGCTGCTTGTTCCCCAGGAGTTATTTTGAAACTTTCACAAACGCTTGCCTGCTGTGAAGAACATTCCACTTGCGGCGATGACAACGGGGATGCAATCAATGGTGTTTGTCCAGACGCCAAAGGTGTTTTATTTTCACCTGAAGCCATTTGAGCACCCGCGTTTGGGCGATGTGATGAGGGTGACACAGTGACACCTGGTCCAACTGAATTCTTGTTGCGAGATGCAACCGGTATTTCAGACAATTGTGGCTGGCTTGTCGCATCTGTAGCTCTGCGAATTGCTATTTTAATATTTTTGCACGGCTCCGGGTCTGCCCCTTGTTCTGGTGATTTGATTTCCGTGTCAGACATGTCAAGGGGAGCAGCTGCTGCGCAGGTAACATCATTTTTTCTTTGAGAAAGTTCCGAAGATGAAGATGCTGTGGGTGTAAACTTCTTCTGGGCAGGAGCAACTGTTGACATGACAGCTGTAATCTGGTTCGTGGACGGTGGGGCAATCGTACGTTGCGGACGAGTGCACGGTGATTTGAAAAAGAGTTTTTGGGGGACGGGTTTAGACATGACAGCTGTAATTTGGTTCGGGCACGGTTGGGCAATGGCACGTTGCGGACGAGTGCACGGTGATTTGGAAAAGACTTTTTGGGGGACGGGTTCTGAGACCACCATTGTCTGTAATGGTTCTGCTAACAAAGTCTGAGTAGGGGGTGCGCGCTGCTCAAGTGATCCGCTTGCTGCGGCGGTTGATGAAAATGTCAATGTCATGCCAGAGGAACCGACACCGTGTTCCTTTTGGTGCTCTGTTGGAACTCTAATGTGGGACTGACAACTGCTGGATGCTGTTGTATAAGTGACAGAAAGTGTCTGGTTTGTCGACACCTCTTCTGCGCCTTTGTCACTTACCTCGGCGGTTGGTGGTGACTGTGAGGAAAATACTTGAGACTTGATCACAGATGGTGAGGTAACAACAGGGCGACTACACCAGTCTTGGGCAATTGGATTTTCCTGTGCCGAGGTAAGATTCTTTGATTGAGCCATTGCTTCAATGAGTAGCATTGCATCCTGCACCATTACGGAGCTGCGACGTGGTATTCCAAGCGGATGCGACGGCGCTTGCGGTATTGGGGCCGTTGGGCTGGCCTGTGAATTCTTTATGTCACCATGAGATGCACCATTTTGGCTTTCTGAGTGCTGTTTTCTTTCTTGAATTTCTTCGTTGACTCGTCCTGGTTCGCACTTGTTCTTATCCTCCGTCAAGCCACATTTTGTTTTTTCCGCTCCTAGTTGTTTGTTTGGCAGCGTTGGCGCAATGTCCTGCCCCTTTGCTTGTTCATGCGCTGGTGTTTCACTCAATGATGGTAGCTGAGTTTCAGGGCCTAAGGTTTCATTTCGACAAGCAGAGCTCGGTGGTGGATCTAAGAAAAGAGAATTTAGACATTTACAGTTTGTAGATTTTTTTTTTCAAGTAGAACTTCACAATTTGTGGTCATATTTGTCTGTTTTAACTCCTTACCTGCAATTGCACAAACTATGTTTCCGCTGACTACGGTGGGTTCAGAATGCTTTAAAATAAAGAGAAGAAAGAAAAAAAAATTACATACAACTTTATAGTAACAAATTGAACAAAATATAGTCCCAATTCACAACAGGAGCAGCTGAAGCTCTATTTAATCTTTGTGGAAATGATAAGGTTTGAAAATATGGAGTGAAATTCTGTGGTTGAGCTGGCCAACTCCAATCTATCAAGTGTTTAAATGTTTGGGTACCATTACTCTTGTTAATATTAGAAGTAGACAGGAAACAAAAATGTTGTTGGGGCACAGAAAAGGGAGTGCTGGAGATCCCCACATCAAATGTGCCATTCTTAGACAAAGTCCTTGAAAGTTGTACACTAACAGCTTACTGACTTTCTCCTGTCTAATACTGCCTTTGACACTTTCCAATCAGACTTCAGGCCCCGTCGCAGAACTGAGACAACTCTGACCAAGATGCCCAAATTATGTCTGCTGATGCAGGCAAAGTCTTGGTTCTGCTGAACCTGTTTGGGTACCATTACTCTTGTTAATATTAGAAGTCGACAGAAAACAAAAACTCTGTTAGGGCACAGAAAAGGGAGTGGTGGAGATCCCCACATCAAATGTGACATTCTTAGACAAAGTCCTTGAAAGTTGTACACGAACAGCTTACTGACTTTCTCCTGTCTAATACTGCCTTTGACACTTTCCAATTAGACTTCAAGCCCCGTCGCAGAACTGAGACAACTCTGACCTGATGCCAAAATGATGTCGGCCGAAACACTGATGCAGGCAAAGTCTCAGTCTTGGTTCTGCCGAACTTGAGTGCTGCTGATACACTCAACTTTGTGAGTTTATTACGGAGGTTAGAACACTGGGTGGGAATCTCTGGTGTTCTTTAGGACACATAATGCAGCCCTATAAAGTGTCCTACCACAACTAGGCAGATGATACTCAGATCTACATGTCACTGTCGGCAGGTGAGTTGTCCACTTTTGTCTACCAGTACACATACACACCTCATGATTTGGAAGTGAAACGGTCAGGTTTTTTGCTCCTTTTTCAGCATCAACATCATTGTCGTTGAGCAGGATGTACACCATTTCCTGTTCAGTACATTGTTTGCCTTGTTCAGTGACACTTGGCCCCACCTGTTGCTCAATCAGCAAAAGATGGCAGGGAAGAAGGTCTGCAAAACATTAGATCAAAGTCAAATTTACATGTTGACATCCATTTATTATATTCAGTGTTGTTCATCCATCACTTTGACAAATAGGTCTCCTGACACTCTGTGAACACATTAAGGATATGTAATACGGCTGAACAATTAATTGAATTCAAATTTAGCGACGTCGCAATGTAATGAAATAGAATTTATAAACTGCAATTTTGGGAAAAAAATATTTAAGGTCATAGTCTTTTTTTTTTTTTTTAATAAGTATGAATGAATGAATTTCTTTAGTGTGTAGATAATCTTTTAAGTCACAAAATGTGTCCCACTTATTTTTTTAACCAAAAAGATAAGTGTCCCTGAATTGGTATGCTAAAAATCAACTAATGAATTACAAAAGAAACAGACTTAATAAGAAACTTAGCGTTTCCAGTTGCCAGTCACAGCAGACTAACCACTGCCTTTAATAGAAACGGATGTTGTCACGTTCGGCAAATCTTTTGTAACATATGACACATCTATATCTATATAGCCTTTTAACAGCAGCTGTGACAGGGCGCGTCTCAAAATATAGTTCCTTCGGCAAATCTTTTGTAACATATGACACATCTATATAGCCTTTTAACAGCAGCCGTGACAGGGCGCGTCTCAAAATATAGTTCCGTTTACTTCCCGAAGTTCTTTCGCTATCGAGTCGTGTTTCCAGTGGACCGTGCGTTTAATGTTTTCAAGCACGGCGGCGTCCCGGTAAACAGCTTCTGGTACAGAGCAGTACATGTAATCCGGAGTGCGGTCATGTTGAAATGCCCTTGAATTTGGATGAGTTAACAATGTGAACCTAAAATATTCTTCCCATGAACAGGAACACAAACAAAACTGTATCATTAATTTAACGGAGTTATTTGTATAGCTTTTGGAATCGTGGAAAAAAATATTTCATCAGGCCCATGTTCGCCTGTTTTACTTAAGATTATGAAAACGCGGCATCGTAGTTCGCCAAACCGGAAGACAGTAAATCGACAACGAATGTAACTTCACGGATGTAGAGTGAATGTTCAACGGTCATCTAACTAAAACGCGCGTTTCCACATCTTTTAAAGAAGATTCGGTTAACTGTTTGAAAAACAAGAGCAACTCACTCACCACATTGCACAGCGTTGTCCTGGATCTGCGGACGGCCACCTCGTGAGGACTCACGGATAGCAAAGGTTTTCGCGTCAGCTATTTGCCTGCATGTTGTTTTCAGGGCCTCGTTCTCCGTCTTCACCTTTGATAATTCTGCCTTTAATTCGTCAACCACCGTTTCAAAAAGTCTGGTCGTTTCCGCAACAGTACTTTTCACCAGACTGTCCATAAAACAGGCGTACTTCGTTTGAAAATCGTCCGTTGACATGTTGCGATGTTCTCTTTAACTTAAGTTTCGAGAATAGGATCCGCATGGAGCAGTTGCTTCGACGAAACAAGGCGAGTCAGCCGACTTCAACATGGCTGCCACGTAACGTCACCCCGATTCGCGCGAACCTGTTACGTCACACTTGCGCCTTTGTTTACTCGCCGTTAGATAGCGCATTACCTCCATCTACTGTGTTGAAGTGGACTCATATGTGCCTTTTATTAACCGATATAAATTTGAGCTCCATCAAAGTTGATTTTTCTTCTTTCCAAAAGGTCACTCTAGTTTGTCTTCTTCAGATTACTTTTTTGTTCTGCACAATTCATCACCTAAGCCATGCAAATAAACGATTTAATATTGCGTTTGAGGAATATAATTTACGCAGCAAAATCCACTCATCTGAGGGGACTGCCCTTTTGCCACTTACTGTCAACGAAAAATGACAGCAGTGCATCAATAGCACAGAAGACGTCACTGTGGAAAGCGGTAGCAGACGTTATCTGATTTTCAAACTGAATGCGGAAGTGACGCATTCCCAACGCTACTCGTGGTTGAAGCCACAGGGCAGCCTTTTTACGTTGCCACGGAGTGACAATTTGTTCTGTTTTTTTTCTCCGTGAAAACACTGTTATCAGCGCATGTTTTATGACAGGGCTTTTTTTTTCAATGAAAATACTGTTATGAGTGCGTGTTTTATGGACAGGATCTCTTTAGAGATTAACGAGAACTGCCCAAAGAAACAATGTAATTGTTTGTCGCTGCCCATCTTTAAAACCCGCCTCAAAACTCACTTGTATTCTTTGGCATTTGACTCAGCATGACCCAAATTATGATCTTAGTTATACTGTTTGGTGCTCTCTACCGTCTTTGATACTGATTTGTTGTTTTGCTTTACTGTTGTATATGTTAGTTGCTCCATGTAAGGCACTTTGTGTGCAGCGATGGTTGTTTGAAAGCGCTCTATTAATACATTTGAGTTGAGTTGAGTTTGCATTCACCCGTTATTGTGAATCTGACAACATGATCAAGAGGACTGAATAGTACAGTACTCGGATTTATCCATTTCAAAAGAAAATATACAATCAGATTTGCTAAAATGAAATTTAAATGTAGCGTTTCTCCCATACTTAACGGGACAACCGTACGCCACACGCATTTACGCCGTGGAGACAAAAACAAAACAAAACATGAAAACACTGTGGAGAAATCAAGTATTCAAGTAAGGCCGGACTAACGGCTGGCAACGTAAAATGGCCACCGGTGGCTCCACTTTTCGCTCCGGCGACCAAACGGCTCTTGTGGTCCATTCATAATCCGACGAGATTCCTTTGTTAGCAACACATCGCTAAACAGATGTCAAGTGTGCGTGTGTGCGCGCAAAGTGTTGCCATCATCGTGTGAAAATGTGTGCAAGAACAACGACAGAATTCGTGGAAAACCTTTGTGGGACAAAAGAGAAGAACGTGCGACAACGTCAACTACTGGACGCTGTTTTCAAGCAGCCTCGTCTTGTGTTACACAGGGCAGGTTTGTTCACTGCTAATTCAAATATATTAGAGGTGCTCCGTGTCCGTTTTGGTACTGTAATCGGTTATTAAGTTTGGAAACCGATGTAAAAATAGAAAAACCACATATAATGAGATCTCTGTTTTAAAATAGAAACATCCAATTTGAAATACAACTTGATGTTCTTGTTGTCTGAGACGAGTCAGGAAAAGACTACTCGCAGTTAGATTTTTTTTCCATTTTTAATTTCTGAAACGAACGTGGAATGAAGCACGAGACAGACAACGAAAAATGGTCTCGTTTGTTTTGGAATACCGGAAGTTGTCACCAACAGCATTGTCATCCTGACCACGAGATGGGCACAGTGTGAAGCCTGAAGACGTTAAAGTTTCATGCTTCCGTTTCCATACAAAATTCCACAATCACTTACTAAACGCTTGAACAAAATTGTTGGTCCTGTGTTAAAGAAAATTAAAAATAATGCTGATAAAAAATGGTAATGAAACAAAGACAACATCAATAATAAAAGTAATAATAAAAATCAAGGAAATGAACCAATGAAAGCCAGACATTTCTTTTGAACTTTGCTTCATTGGATTAAAAAAAAAACACACCTAATGAAACAGGCGTGGACAAAAATGATGGTAAGCCTAGAAAAATAAATTGACCATAAGAGACATTCAACCAGGGATGCCGCTACACCGGGAACATATATTTATAAATCATGCAAAAACCACCATCAGTTACAACCGTATTAACAAAAATGCACAACATCAATGTCACAGCATGAGATCTGAATTGACCTAACATGTGTTTTTGTCTTCTTGTGTAATGCAGACGTCAGTGAAAAATATCTTCATCCTGAGCGACAGGAGCCACTGACCACTCACGTTAAAGTGGACAACAATGAAGGGGGGTTACAATGCCCATATATTAAAGAGGAAGAGGCGCCAGAGCACCACAACATAAAAGAGGAAGTGGAGCCAGAGACCCGTAACATCAAAGAGGAGGAGCCAGACTCCCCCAACATCAAAGAGGAGGAGCCAGAGCCCCATTACATTAAAGGGGTAGAGGAGGATGAGCTCACCCAGTTTCCTTTGACTGGTTTCCCTTTGAAGGGTGAAGAGGATGAAGACAAAGGTCAAAGTGAGGAGAGCAGAAACGCGGCGCCTCCAAGCAGCAGCTCAAGTCAACACATTACAGCTGGAGACCACTGTCAGGGACTCCAAGGAGACAGCCTCGTTGTACTCTCATTAGATAGTAATGATGTTATGACACACTCTCATGATGATGATGGCCAGGGGCATTGTAAAGATGGTAAGACATGTCACACTGACAACAATCGCTGGAGATGTTGTCATTGTTTCAAAACGTTTGTCTACAAGTCCGTTTTGAAAAAGCACATGATGATCCACACTGGCGAGAAACCTTTTGGATGCTCAGTTTGTGGAAAAAGGTTCACTCGGAATGGACATTTGAGAGCGCACACAAAAACACACACTGGGGAGAAACCTTTTTCCTGCTTAGTTTGTTGTAAAACATTTTCTCAAGAGGGACACTTGGGAATACATGCAAGAACACACACTGGTGAGAAACCATTTGAATGTTCAGTTTGCGGTCAGAGATTCTCGGTCAGCGGCAACTTAAAAAAACACACAGCAACACATACTGGGGAGAAACCTTTTGCCTGCTCAGTTTGTGGTCAAAGATTCTCTGTGAGGGAATACTTAACGACACACAAAAGAACACACACTGGGGAGAAACGTTTTACCTGCTCTGTTTGTGGTAAAAGCTTCTGCGTGAAGGTACTTTTGGAAGAACATACAAGAATACACACTGGAGAGAAACCTTTTGCCTGCCCAATTTGTGGTAAAAGCTTTGCGACAAAGGCAAATTTTGGAACACACACAAGAACACACACTGGAGAGAAACCTTTTACCTGCTCAGTTTGTGGTCAAAAATTCTCTTTAAGGGGAAACTTAAGAACACACGCCAGAACACACACTGGGGAGAAACCATTCAGTTGTAGTGTGTGTCATAAAAGCTTCTCGAGTAAACAAAATATTAAGAAACACAAGTGTACTGGTGAGATTAGCAACGATCAATGAAGCTTTAAATAGACTGTGAAGAAACTGCCTTGATGGAGGTGTCAGAGAGTCTGTGGATGTCCCCCGCCCCCCTGCCCGAAGACAACTCGGATAGGCTACGGCACGCCCGCGACTCCCGTGAGGATAAAACAGATTAGAAAATGTATGGATGGATGTACCTAAAAATCAGGTTAATAGCATATGTATTGTAGCTGCTGGGGTACTAATGGCAATACAGGTACTAGTTTTTTTTTAAAGGCCGAACGAATTTGTCGTGCATGAGGCTTAGCAACTTTTTAGTAATCTGTAGTAAAGAAATGATATTAGTCTCCTTTGGGGGTCGACAATATGCCTGCTTTTTACTATCCAAGATAAATCTTAAAACAGCATGATTGATTCACAAACCACAGTAAAATAACCCCAGGATAGACTACAATTTGTGGGAGGACTCGAATTTGCTGCTCCCTGCTGGCCAAATCACTCCCCAGAACGAGCTGTAGCAACCTAAACGTGATGCACAATTTCATTCTCTACATTGTACTTAGATATGTCATCGCTATATGTATTTAGAAAGTACATTATAGAGTGAGTTAAAAGCTTTATTATAGAACAATTAAAACTCACGACTCAAGGCACCACTGTTGACATTTAAAAAAAAAACCCACAAAAGCTAAAGCATACTCTTTAATAGTAATAATAAACGAAGGCATAGAATTCATGGCATTTATTATTTTGTCATCCATTGATTGCATGATTTATACATAAATAAAAAATGATGTTCTTTGCGAGGTGTGCGTTATTTAAAGGTTACACCACAGATGGACTATGCCGCGGTTGAAGTTCATATTGGTTAACTGTCAACTCACATCTTACCTTCTGGGTTTTTATTTTGCGATAAATACACAAAGCCTAACGCTTCAGTCCGGATAGCAAGTGACACATGGACAAAGCCAGCGTGATGTGATCAATAAGAAAAGGTTCTAGTTATTTGTGGAATATGACTCAGACTCTCAGAGATCACCGGGCCCACTGACTGATCACTTCTTACACATGGTTAAAATCAGGAAATTGTCCGAGACCAAATATTGGAGACAGTGAGAACAGGAAACAGGAAGTTGGGCAGAGGGTAGATATAACATGTGAATTGATTTGTACACGAGAATAAAGCAAGACAGTGTGGCTAAAAAATGTTGATGAAAAATTAGATAGTTGAATATTGTTTTAACCTTGAGGACCAAAGCCTTGCAAATATTTGAAAAGTAGCAAAAAAAAAATAATAAGTCAGAGTCAGAGGCATGTTTACTGCTATAAATTGCACAAAGTTCAACTCACTTGAAAATGTTTCCTGCTCTAATATTCAAAATGTACAAATTAATACGCTGGGTTTAAATAAATATATTGCCATTCATATAATTTTGTAAAGTTTACTCATAAAAAACAAAATGCACACATTATTTCCTATTTTAGCTTCCACTCTGAGTACAATGACAACAGAAGAGACTTGAATGTAGCATCTAATGAAATGTTTCTCATTATGCTGGATTTACATGGCAACATGGCATATTACACACTACGTAAATGTCACCATTTCACGTGCTGGCTGATGTGTTATGATATCATACTGCCCCAGGATGAGATTACATCACAGCTGTGCTCTTTTTTTGAAACACAGTGAACTATGTGAACTGCGAACACGACAGAAATGATGTAATCATTTTAATAGGAGGACATGTTCATTTTCAGATCTGTAGAAAAGGGTTGTACAGATTGTTAGATAATTTGCTTGTAGTGCGAAAATGATTTTTAGGCAAAAATGATACATTCTAAGGCAAAGAAAAAAAGACATGAAATACATGAAACCCCAAATTTCTTAATTTTTGGCAAAATGTGTTTATTTCAGTGTATCAGTGGTTCTTCTTAAGAGCAATAGCAAAAGTACACATGATATATTTTTTGTATTTCTTTTAATTTTCCATTTTCATTTATCAACACTGTAATGAATAAACATTTATTTTAGCCACAGCTTGCAAATGTTGTCTTGGTCAGTGTGCAAGTACTCCCCGGACCCCCTGTCCCCGAAAATTAACTCATAAGCACCTACTAGTATTCGTGCTGATACCAAGTTAACTAATGAGCCGTCTTCAGCATCGCAACACCTTAACATTTTATCATTAAAAATGCATGTCTTATGTTCTTCGCATAATTACCTCTTGAAAAAAAAAAATACCATCCCTGTTGTAAAACATCACTAACCGTGTCAGACACAATGTAAGACAATAGTTACAGGTGTATTAAAGACATATTTGGAATAGTGCAATGCGTCCATCCATCCATTTTACGATCCGCTTATCCTCACCAGGGTTGCTGGGGGTGCTGGAGCCTATCCCAGCTGTCATCAGGCAGTAGGTGGGGGACACCCTGAACCAGTTGCCAGCCAATCGCAGGGCACACAGAGACGAACAACCATCCACGCTCACACTCACACCTAGGGACAATTTTGAGTGTTCAATCAGTCTGCCATGCATGTTTTTGGAATGTGGGAGGAAACCGGAGTACCTAGAGAAAACCCAGGCAGGCACACAGGGAACATGCAAACTCCACACAGGGAGACCCGAGCTGGAATTGAACCCGGTACCAATGCACTGTGAGGTCGACGCGCTAACCACTGGCCCACAGGGCCGCCCATAGTGCAATGCAAAATATCAAAATAAAAACAAAAATATGAGCAAGCTCAGCTAACAAGGCAAGCTAGGGTATATGCTTCAGGCTGTAACGCTTGTGCAGGCCTCTTGCTTTTTGCTTTTGATTGATTCGTAAGAGACATTAGTTATAGATGGACACTTCACAATGAAATAAACAACACTAAATCAAATTGTCTATCAATCACTCCTGCTTCCTGTCTGACTGGATGGCGTGCCAACGAGCGGTCTCCCCGGTGGCCCGGCTGCACATTTCCTTCCAGTGTCCTCGCCCCGCTTCCGAAACATGGCCACCAATCAGCACGCGGCCCAGAATGCTACTCTTCGTGTAGAGACGACCCTGTGGACGAGAAATTGAAATGAATTGTAATAAATAGTGTCATGATTGGAGGATTGTATGCTAATCCCGCTGAATTACATCATAATTGGAGTAAATCCAAAATAACTGACAGTAAATTGTATTGTATCCTAAATTTGAGTGGCTTGTGTTGTAATTGGAGGTACTCAGAGGAATGGGTTCGTTTTTTTTCCAGATACTGTACCTGCATGACAATGAACTCGAAGAGCAATGGCAGATGAGCGACATCACCGGGCGGCAAATCGAACAGGAAAGGAGCATTCCAAACGGGACTCGAACTGCCAGCTGCTTTGGTCTCTTTGGTGCTGATCACTTTGCCATCATGATGCAAGTTGATGACGACGTAGTGGGCTGACGAGGAAAACATGGCATCAGTATTTAGCATCAGCATTTTCAGTGGACCAAAATCAATATGACTTCCTTTTTTTAATCCACTCAAGCGTTCTAATTGGATTGCATAATAATTCAAAAGCAATGCGTCATTTATGGTGGTGACACATTCCTGGAAGCGTGGGACTCTCTCTGGGGGCAACAAAGTGGAATGAATTTGTCTGAAAATGTCAACGCTGGTTTTGTTGTCTCGCTTCTTATGTGCCAGTGAAGCGAGGCTGGAAATGAGATGCCGAGTAAACATGAAGGGAAACGACATGGCTTCCTAATCCAGTTATACAATAACATCATAGTTATCGCCTTTTTGCGTTTCGACGATCTGCCAGTCTGCAATAGTGGTACACTCATACCCCGCATACTCAGAGTTCACTTGTCACAAGTTTACCTCTGGCTGCCAGTCAGCATGCGTCATATCAGAACTGGAGTGAAGTGTATTGCGAGTGGAGTGAAACACATCGTCGGGCAATTGGAATGAATCAGACCTGTATTTAAGTGAATCATATTGTAAATGGAAGGAATCTTATTGTATCATTCCAGTTAAAGTGAATTATCTGGGAAATAGAGTCAAACGTATCGTAAATGGGGGAACAAGGTAGCTTTCCATCATAATTGTAAGTTGAGGGGTTCGTTGTTTTTAGTGGATATATTTACTTGACGAACGGCAAAAGGAGAGATGGAATCCTCTAAATGTTAAATTTTATTATAAAAGGGGGGAAAAAGACGTCTGCACCGCAGCACGTTCGAGACCACAACTCTCCGAACTAAAATCACTTCCTGCTTCTCTTACTTCAACAACCAATCAGAACCTATCAAAATAAAAACATGTCTAAGCAATTATTAAACAACAGAATATAATTTAGGTCTTTTTAACAGGAAATAATATGATGCTCAAACATAAAATGACAATAATTAATAATATAACATAAGCTTACATAATTTATAACGATGATAACGTATTGTAATCGCAATGATTCGCATTGGAACTTGGGTGTTGATCAAATATCATTCACGTGTTCTGATTGGTGATATTACCCGGGGCTCCGGGGATGCGGGTGAGCTTGGCCACCTGGTCGGCTTTACGCACCATCACCTTGATGCGGTGGGCCGGCACCTGGTACTGGAGCAGCACAAAGAGTTGGCCCAGTGATCTCGACGCACACAGCGAGCTCTTCCTGTGCGACCGCGTGTCCTGAGAGCTCACACTCTGAGAAACAACAACACAGGAACACCACATTTTATGATCAAACTCACACTCAAAGGAGTCTTTTAGTCAGCAGATGTTCTTTTCGTGATCTGTGGCGGATTCCATTCACTTTATTTCTGAGTCGTTGGGACTTCATAATGCGCCAAAAAGGACCTTTGTCGGCTTCACGGTGGGATGTGACATCACTCTCCGTCGACTTTTCATACATTTAATACAAGTAGTATGATGACGTCACCGCCCTGCCTTGATTGCCGTGTGGTGAATCATGCGGTACTCGACAAATACTTTAAAACTTTACTTTAAAAAGAACTCAACGTAATGCTGAAACGAATAAAATGAATCTTTAAAAAATACAAATCAAGAAAAATTAACAACCTGCTCTAAAAACGAATTAACATACAACCCACCCCCAAAAAGTCAAAATGAAATAAAAACGAATCAGCATGAAAAATTCCAAACTATTGTAACCCTGATCTATATATGATTCACTCGTTCTACGTTGCCAATTACGGAAGCGTGGAACTGCCAATGTGGAGTAAAAGTCCTTTTGACTGGCAAATACTCGTGTTGAAATATGCTCTAAGGTTTTTGGTTCAAATTTCGGCGCTCGTGTGTGGAGTTTTTCTTTAATTCCCTCTGTGTTGGCGTGGGGTTTTCTGTTAATGCCTTGTCTTACTTCCACATTCTAAAAATGAATGTTGACTTCACTCTAAATTGTCCACAGGTATGAATGAATAATCGTATCGTTGCTTGCCTATAAAGTGTCCTACAGTTGGCTGGTGAACCAATCACGCATGCACCTTGCCTGCATGGATGGATGGAAGCAATTGTTTTATTGTGTTTGGATTTCCGCTGATAAAATCATTCTTGTGCTTTGCGTCACTCTCATGCTGTATCAAAGGCACGGAGGGCATCCGAGCTGAGAAGATCGACTTTGGTCATAAATTCACTGCGTGGGTGGATGGCGTTTACATCACAGCCGCTGCAACTCACGCACACGTCTACACGCATCAGTCAATTTAGGCTCTCACAAAAATTAGACTTTGGCCGCCTGTTGTCACAATCTCCTGAGTTATTCTTGTCCACCCTGGCAGATTTGCTGCTCATTTTCACCATGATGAACAAAAACGCAGCACAAAGCTTTTCAAAGTGGCACAGCTGATTTGGTGCTATTGCATTTTCCTTGATGAACTCAAACTCTTATTCTGTAATCTGAAACAAGTTCAACACATTGTTTTTTTTTTTTTTTGGTTAACTAATTTGGTTCTGCAAACTGCTCCACATTTGTGGAGCACACTCTTGACAAACTCAAACATTTACTGTATAAACTTGAACATTTTGCTTTGCTGTGAATTATTGCACTCATATTTTGCCCGATAAGCCATGTTTTTCAAAACTGCTTTGCATTTGTGTTGCATTTATCGTGTCAAATTCAAATATTTACTGAATAAACAGGAAAAAATGCTTGAGGTTACCTTCTTGATTTTACTTTTGGCAGGGCTGAGTTGCCTAGTGCAGGTTGCTGTTGTGTCAGGCTCCCAGTCCAGTTGCTGGCAGGACAGTTCCACCACGCCCAGAGCCACCTCGCGCAGGCCTGAGAAGTCTCGGCTGTAGACCTCTAGCCTCAGTGTGCATGCCCGCAGCTTCTCCAAGGACCCTGCTTGGAGCGCCACGCTCTGGCTTTGCAGCTCCGGGCTGAAGCTGCGGCGTCGGGATGCCACCTGGCATGGTACTGGGCACACTGGTGGCAGGCTAGCCCGTACCAGAATCCTATTACTCCGCCTCCGGCCAGACACCCCCAAGATGTTGACCACCAGGGTACCGCTTGAGGAATAGAGCAGGGAGAAGTGAAGCAAGGGGGCTGGCTTGGCGGGGATGGAGGACGTGATGGAGCCATATTGAGATGGAGAGAGCGCAGCCTGGTGGCTTAAACTTTCCCCGCTCACAGTGCTGCGCCGACCCTTCATCCAACGAGATTTGGGAACTAGCTTAGTGAATGAGGGCAAGGACGCCTGGCTGTGGCTCGTATTCTTACGGGATGCTAAAGGAACGAGCGGTGAACTGAGGCGGCGTAGTGGAGACGAACACCTGGAATCAAATGGGAGCTCGCTGAGGTCGTCCTCGGATGGGGACGAGCTGCTTTTAGAGGACATGAAGTCCAAAACGTCACCGTCCAGTTCTTCGTACTGTTGCCGGACCGGCCGTGTGCACAGCGCCGGCGTCAGCGTCACGGTCACTCGCTCGTTGGGGTGAGGGCACGGATTTCCCAACTCCTTATCCTTTGAAGATACACCCTTCTTTGGCCTGCAGCAGAGGATGAAGGCGAGCACCATGCAGTAGCAGAAGACGGCCAGGAGCACGGCCAGCAGGACCTGCAGATGAACTATAGGCAACAATAGTTCTTTTTTTTTTTTCTGAGAGCTGCTTTGCATCTGTCTTCAATTTTTCTTGAAAAACTCAAACATTAACTATATACACTGAATTCTTGCGGATTTTGCAGACCGGTGACAGCAACGACCAAACTGGGGACCAGACTGAAATATTGAAGAGGCCTAAATGAGTTACAGTCATCTTAATGAGATCAATGAGGAAATGTCCCTCATTCATGACAATCGCTAATGACAGTGTCACTGTCAAAAAGCCAGACAGAGGGCATGTTAAATTTCCTGACAGTCAGACCGCATGTGTCCTGAAATGATGCTATCATGACAGGGTTTAATTTAGATTTCCAATCAGCAAGCGACAACAATCTTGGAAGGATCAATGGAGACACAATTTTATGGAAGATCTAAATTAAAGGGGTTCAAGCGATATGAAATGTGTTTGCAGGAAGCAACATGAGTTGTAGTTCATTTAGCATTAGAAAAATCTAATTTCACACAACCCATTAAAAATGTCATAAAAAGTTTATATACTAAAAAACATGATGAGCTCCTGTTTAATCATAAATGTTGATTTTATGGCTAATACGATGGCCACATCTGATACGGCGAACATGCGTAGCTCAGTGGCAGAGTGGTTGTCTTCCCACTGAAAGGTTGGAAGTTCACTTCTGGCCATTGCAACCATGCTGAAGTGTCCTGAGGCAAGACACTGAGCCCCCACTCGCTCCTGATTCTGCGTCATCAGTAGGTAAACGAAGTAACTGTATGAAGCATTTTGAGAACCAAAGGAAGAAAAGCACAATACAAATGTCAGCCCATTTACCATTGCTCGGAACG